TCAAAGCGAGTTAATGGGACGGCAAAGGTCTCCTACCACATCAAGCAGGGACCACAGCGAGAAGCTCAATTCACCATCAAGCACAACGACTGGACGAAAAATCCGTCCAGCAGAGCCACGCAGCCAGCACAACCTCGCGGTCTTCGAAGGCCCAGAGAAGACGCCGGCGAAGACAGCCAAACCCAATGGGACAAAAGATCCGGATGGTCCTGGAAAGGCCACAATTACTAGAAGAGGGCACCTCCAATTCGCAAGGTTTGCACGGCAAGCCCCAGCTAAAGGACACTGTCCTTACCGCTGAGCCAACAGCAGCTAAGCTGCTACGATGTCAAAAAGTTTCTCCATCCTCTTTTGCCTTCATTGGCCGCCTGATACAGCTGAACGGACAGAAAAACCCCTGCAAGCCTGAGGACTTAGTTGTTCATGACGACTGTTTATAGTCCTCTTCTCACCTCTGGCAAATTTCGGTCAACTCACCTCATCAAGCAGAGTCTGCCGTTTCTCATCACTGTGTTGCAGGCAAATAGCCAAGCTAAGCAATGCTACCAAGGTCCGCGATGCTCCAGGATGGAGAACCCAACGAAGGCAGCGAGCCCAGAAACAAGACAGAGTACTTTCATGACAAGTAGAACGATCCTAACAGCCACGCACCGCTCTACAGACTACTGTCCTCCTAGCCTCAAGCAGCCACACTTCACTTGGCAGGGCACCGTCTCGGCTATTAGTCACACGAGGCTGGCCCCCTTCTTCAGTATCGCTCGTTACCACAGGGGTGCGCTTCTGTGCCGGACTCGTTCTTGAGACGAGGAGCAGCTCAGTGGCTAGAATAGCTGCCGATACAGACACAACTCGGCAAAGAAATTTACCCACTACGTAATGGGCTCTGCGGCTGGCCTCACTTTGTGAGGTGCGGATACCGGAATTGCCGCCTAGAGCGGTTCACCCCGGCGGACCGCCGGGCAGGTCTTGAGCCTGGAGCAGCGTATCCCTTCAACAAGTGAGGCCGGGTCTGCTCAAGAACAATCCGAGTGTGTTCGCACGCTAAACGCTCTGCCACGGTACCAGGCAACACAGGTGCATCAACCAACAGTGCTTAAAAACGCTTGTTGTACTAGGCCCTGGCTCAATTTCTCTGTTCTAAGTGAAAGTCTCCAACTTCCTCCGAATGTCGCCGAAACGCCATTGTCGCACAGAGCCTGACGCCATGCCAGCGATGACAGGGGGCAGTGAAGAGGAGCAGGACTGCTCGGAAGCGGAGGCTGTCGACTTCGGTGAAGAGTCGGAGACGGATTCACTATTTCGATCCTCCCCAGACGAGATGCCCACAGCGCCAGCACGAGACACTCTGCTGCGCCCAGCAGCAAAGGCTCGCACTGGACGACCAGAGGAAGGAGGCCTTCCTACCACGCCTGCCCCGAACTCGTCCATCGCTTGGAATGGGGTGCCTCCCTACATTAGCCCGGCCGGGCCACCAGGAACGGACTTCCCACTCCCGGGAACAAGGCCAATGCACGAGGCTGCGCCCCCAGTGTATACGCCGGGGGAAAGGCTGCAACTCTGGAGCTTGACGCTCAGCCCAGGGCCGGTAGTGGTCATTCAAGGTGTTCCACGCCGCACCTGGTTCTTCCAGCTGCAACAGGGGCACATCCACAACTACGAGGGGCCGGCTGGACCTCATCAACACGTCCTCGTCTCCCCGATCCACACGCTTACTGGCCCACCAGTTCCAGTGGTGGGATACAGCACGCTTGAACAACAGGCAGAGTCTGGCAGTTCAGCTCCTGGACGCTGAACACTGGCCAGTTCTTTTTCTTTAATCTTACAGCCGAACCAGACTCAATCTGAGCACTGCTCAGCTGGTGAGGAGCACTGCTCCCATGTACAAAAGTAACAAACACCGACGATTGAGAGGTCGCACAGCACTGGGGAAAAAGCAGGTCTTAACATTATTGCAGTTTGAGACCGTTTCTTCACCAGCCATGTAACTAGCGAGGATCGCCTCACACTGAATCCGGGAGGCCCAGCCCAACACTCACTGCAAATCTGCCACAGTGACTGCTCTACGGTCCTCTGCCTCCCTGCATCAATGATCCATGTGGGACGCCACAAGATGGACATTGAGGGAGACGGCCAATCAGGTACGACCCACTTGCAGGAAGGTGCGTGTCTACTGGACGCAGTGAGACACAGTAGGATGACGGGAGCTACAACTTTTTCACCCATAGGACAGCTAGCTAACAAGCTACAGCTCTTGCTCAACACTCAAACCAAGTCAAGAAGCTCGCCTCGTCTCACACTGATCTACACCTAATGAATTCGGTTTCACCTCTCCAACCGCAGCTCCAAACTAATTTTCGGTGCTCAGAACGGTGCGAATCGCCCGCAATGAGCAGAGCCCGCTCGCTCAGCGTTCAATATAGTAGTAGTAGTAGTAGTAGTAGTAGTAGTAGTAGTAGTAGTAGTAGTAGTAGTAGTAGTAGTAGTAGTAGTAGTAGTAGTAGTATGTAGTAGTATGTAGTTGTAGTAGTAGTAGTAGTAGTAGTAGTAGTAGTAGTAGTAGTAGTAGTAGTAGTAGTAGTAGTAGTAGTAGTAGTAGTAGTAGTAGTAGTAGTAGTAGTAGTAGTAGTAGTAGTAGTAGTAGTAGTAGTAGTAGTTAGTAGTAGTAGTAGTAGTAGTAGTAGTAGTAGTAGTAGTAGTAGTAGTAGTAGTAGTAGTAGTAGTAGTAGTAGTAGTAGTAGTAGTAGTAGTAGTAGTAGTAGTAGTAGTAGTAGTAGTAGTAGTAGTAGTAGTCGTAGTGTAGTAGTAGTAGTAGTAGTAGTAGTAGTAGTAGTAGTAGTAGTAGTAGTAGTAGTAGTAGTAGTAGTAGTAGTAGTAGTAGTAGTAGTAGTGGTAGTAGTAGTAGTAGTAGTAGAAGTAGTAGAAGTAGTAGAAGTAGTAGTAGACGGAGGATTTTCGTTGCAAGTTTTGCTGGGCTCAGCAAAAGGCGGGGGGTTTTGGAGGAGCGCAGTGCAAACACAATGCATCAATGACGGTTTGGGACAAGATTCATATGGACGTCCAGGCACGTGCTTTCGAAGAGGTTCTTCATTGCAGTCGTTGTTCTGCTTGGACAAGTATGGGGGTTGCCCCGCCCATCTGCAAACACAATGTCGCATGACGGCTTAGGACAAGGTTCATTTGGGTTTTGACGCACCTGCTGCTGTCATGACAGCATGCGGTTTTTCATAGCCAGTTTCGCTTCAGAGTAGAAGTAATAATGGTAGTGGTAGTAGTAGTAGTAGTAGTAGTAGTAGTAGTAGTAGTAGTAGTAGTAGTAGTAGTAGTAGTAGTAGTAGTAGTAGTAGTAGTACTAGTAGTACTAGTACTAGTACTAGTACTAGTACTAGTACTAGTACTAGTACTAGTACTAGTACTAGCACTAGTACTAGTAGGATGAGCAACGTGGGTTGGAGAGCCCATTGAAGCTATATATATATGCATATGCTATTGCACCTGTTTACTTATTTGTTTATGTTAGCCATCACGGAGAACTTTGGAGAATAACATATACATATATATCCTAATGGGTTTAGTTGCGGGGTTTTCTTCCCCATGTTTTTGCTTCTTTCTCTTGCTGTTCTGCTTCACGGACTTGTCTGCTTGTTCGAAAACACTGTCCTGCGCGATGTTTTCGCCCTTGTTGAGAAGCATGTTCTTGTTCTTCCTTTCCGTGCGTGGATGTTGTGACGCTGCGTTTTCCTTACTGAATCGCGTACGCGATTCCGTAGTAGCTTTTCGGTTGCGAATGTGTCTTCTGCAGCTCGAAAATACTGGCCTGCGTGGTGAATTTGACATTGTTCTGTGTTTTTTTGCTCGCTGCACACTTCTCCCGTTTTGTTTTTTTTTTTTGTTGGGCTGGGGTGGGGTGGGGTGGGGGGGGTTGGGGACGTGTATGGGTGCGTAGACACACGCACAAGCAGGAGGACCACGCAACTCCCCAACGTATGCCCGCACCATCCGTATCCACGGAATTCATCGCGAATGTTGCACTATTTCACAACATGATATATGCACCCTTTGCCTAGCTTTCAAACAGCCTAAACCGGAATTCGGGAGATTAGGCTGCTAAGCTGCATTATTGCGAAGAGCATACCACCAATACCAATGTACCATGACTTATACGAGCCTACACGGCTGTCAAACTACGTTTCCCTCAAGCTCAACCTCGCAACTGACCGCGAAGCTCAACCTTCGACCTCCGCAACACTCAGCCTCTTATCACCTACAATATCAACAAAAGGCACTTCCAACAATTGTTTTTTCCCAGCCCTAAAAACAAGAAACCCTGTACATTACGACACGAAACCCACCCCGCAACTAAACCCGCAAGGATATATATATATATACTCTATATACATGTATTGTATGGCTTTCGCGATTCTCGGTTGATCTCACGATTGATTTTGCGATTGGTTTTTCTATTGATTTCACATTGCTTAATTTGCCATTGCTTCCTATTGAAATTTCTGCAGCTTCGCATGATTTTGACAACACATGGTTTCGATAAAAAAAGGCTGCAAACGCTGATTGTTTTTGGAAAAAATCGAAGCCCGCCTGATTTTTTGAAAAATCAATATCCGATGTTCTGGGAAAGATTTTATCACCTCGCGTTGGGGTTTTGCCAACCCTAAGCCTTTCTTTCAGGGTTTCAGCCGTTAATGTCCTCCGTTGTCGTGGGGACCCTCTCCGGTTTACTTGGGTTTTTAAGCTTGAGGTTTTAGGGCTTTTAGGGCTCAGGATTGTTGTTTCAATTTTTGCAACATTTCAAGCTTCGACTTCCTGGTCACGGAACAAAGGCACTGGCCACGGGAGCAGGGAAGTAAAGGACAATGATTCGACACGGCGTCCCCACATGTCCTCACATGTCCCCATTGCCACAGCAGGCATTTTCCACCCCTCTAAAATTCAGGAAAAGTAGCTTAAATCAAGAGGTGAAGTAAGGCGCGTGGGAGACGTGGCAAATGAGCGTGCTGTCTGCAGATGTGGCGGCCTCCGCGCCCCTTCTCAGCGCAAGCCGTCTCCAAGCCGGGCTGGATATACCGGATGCCTTATCGGCCAAGCAGCCGGTCAAGGTTCTCTTCCACGATAAAGTTGCTCGGCTGACGGTTTTGAAAAAAACAAAAACCCCTCAGCCCGCAACCTGAAACTCTAAAACCCTTCATTCCCATGCTGGGGCCTGCCTTGTGTAGGTCTTGTCATTCTTTTCGATGCAAAGCACGATATCTCCCGACCTAGTGGACGGCTTAGGGTTCCGGCTTTACTTGGAGGTTCATGGGTAGTTCTAAGTAGGGTTCTAAGTGGGGTGGATTTTCTTTTGCCCATATTCAGGGTACTTATAGCCTCAACTACACCACGCATGAACCTCCATGCGTAAGGGTTCATTCATGCATGAGTTGTTCAGGTACCTGGTGAAAGCTTGGGCTATGCGGAGTGCATTCGGCAGCTGGCGCCGGGGCTGGCTGGAGTGACGGACGTTGCCCGGGACTTCCAGGTCATGGCACGGGATTCCATCCGAAACGGCCAGCAGGACTCGTAAAGATTTGACTATCCCATTGATTTCTGTTGAGTCTATGGAGTCTATGGTGTTTTTTCTACGGGGAAGCACCCTTCCAGGACGGCTGTCTGAGTGAAGATGAGCTTGCAGCCGTTATGCACTACACCGCCGAGTGGAGTTCCGGTCCACCCTTGTACAAGGACATGAATTCCAAGTGCTACAATGCCGATAGAAACCTGATCCGGCCCTACGTGGACTTTATGTGGTTATTGCTCAGTGCACTTGGCCGCATTGCGCCCTTTCACAAAGACACTGTTTACCGCGGAGTCAAGAAGAACTTACTCCGTGAATACTGCGAGGGGCATGAATTCACCTGGCACGGTTTTATCAGCTGCACAACGAAGCTAAAGGTTTTGGAGAAGCCGGATTTTTTTGGAAAGGTCGGCCCCAGAACTTTCTTCCAAATCCGCTTGTCTCAGAAACAGGCGCGGGAGATTTCGAAGTATTCTCTGGTTCAGGAAGAGGAGGTGCTTCTTCCTCCAGGCAGCCGCTTCCAAGTCACTGACTCCGCCGACATGGGAGGTGGCCTGGCCTTCGTTTACTTGACGGAGCTTGAGTCCCCCTTCTGGATCCGGGATCTCAGCCCAAAGACGGAGGCCTGCTCTGCAATGCATCAAGCCAGCTCCGGATCGGGGTGTTTAGGGTGTGTGTGTGTGTGTGTGTGTGTGTGTGTGTGTGTGTGTGTGTGTGTGTGTGTGTGTGTGTGTGTGTGTGTGTGTGTGTGTGTGTGTGTGGTGTGTGTGTGTGTGTGTGTGTGTGTGTGTGTGTGTGTGTGTGTGTGTGTGTGTGTGTGTGTGTGTGTGTGTGTGTGTGTGTGTGTGTGTGTGTGTGTGTGTGTGTGTGGTGTGTGTGTGTGTGTGTGTGTGTGTGTGTGTGTGTGTGTGGTGTGTGTGTGTGTGTGTGTGTGTGTGTGTGTGTGTGTGTGGTGTGTGTGTGTGTTGTGTGGTGTGTGGGTGGGTGGGTGGGTGGGTGTGGGTGGGTGGGTGGGTGTGTGTGTGTGTGTGTGTGTGTGTGTGTGTGTGTGTGTGTGTGTGTGTGTGTGTGTGTGTGTGTGTGTGTGTGTGTGTGTGTGTGTGTGTGTGTGTGTGTGTGTGTAAGCCCAGTTGCAAAAAAGCATGCCGCGGTTTTGATGTTGGGTATCACGTGATGTTTTTTTTTGCGATGGGTGCAACCGAGTTTCGTACCGGAGCAGGCACTCTTTGGCAGCCCTGGCCCCCTCAGAATTGGCAGTAGGACTTGTAGATCTTACATGAGGTTTGTCACACACATTGCTGTTGCTGCAAGGTCACTGGATCGAGTGCATGGGTGAAAGCAGTAGGACCCCCTGTCTCCGTGTCCAAGTCTGTGTGTGTGTGTGCGCGCGTGCGCCCGTACGTGTATGTGTATGTGCATGTGTATGTGTATGTGTATGTGCATGTGCATGTGTATGTGCATGTGCATGTGTATGTGCATGTGTATGTGTATGTGTATGTGTATGTGTGACCTTGTTTGAAGGATGCGCGAAAGGTTGCGGGGCTCATTGTAAAGAAGTTTCCCAAAAGTCCACTGCATCCAAGTTCTTGTTGGAGGCTATGGCAAGACCGGTTCATGGAAAACGCTCCGAAATGAACCACAAAGAAAGGGGCGTGGTGGGTCTGCTGCCTAGGTAAACCATTTGGGACTTCTAACCTTCGGCTTCCGAGGCCCTGAGCCGACAGGATGTCCCACACACCGTTCAAGTTCTTGGGGCCTCGAAAAGTTCCTTGCTGGTTTGCGCAAGACTCCATTGAATGTCGGCATCGATGTTGCAGTTGCCCAGCACGATGTCCTCGAGCTCAGAGGCCTATACCCTGCTCCGTGATTAAACTTGTCAGCGATGATTTGCCTTGTTCCGCCTGCAGCAAGGTTACGTTAAACCTGAAAGCAGCACTGTACTACACAGTGCAGTGCATTAGCTGGCAAGACAGTGGCAGAAAAACCGTCCACAACTTAGCCAAAAAGCAACGCCACTTCGACATGCGTAGTGTTTCTTGCAGAGACTTCTTAGCACGGTACACTTGGCCTTGCTTGGCGCTTCTGTGAAGAGCTTCAATAGAGGACATTACAAGGTAGCGTTGGGCACCATATCCTGCCATGTCAAGCTCTGAATGGGCACACTCAGGCGATCATGGAGCCAATTTCTTTGACTTTGGTGTTGTGCGTTTTGGCACGCTGCTTTGCTCGTGATGTTCATTGGCTTAGTTCTATGTTCCGAGAGGTTAGGAGCATCGCCGGAGCTCCAGGCTCAGGTGCTTCTACACCTTTGGAAGCCGAGCAAGAAGCGGTATCCACTTCCCAGTCCAGTGCGCATCTTTTTGGAAGAGCGAGTCCGTTGTTTTTGTGTTGTTTTTTTTGGCGTGGGGGCGTGCGGTGGGGGAGGGGCGGGGGGGAGCAGGGGGTGCCGAACGCATCCAAAAATGCAATGAGGCAAGAGGTTCTGCGCGGGGCAGGGGCGGATTCAGCTCTAGATGTCTTCCTGCCACGCATGTTTGTCAGCAACACACCTGACGCCTGCGCACAAGGCGATGAAGCGAGGGATTGTGCTTACCGTCGTCCACTGCCGCCTGTTTCATGGCACCGTCTGGAAAGCCCTTGTAGGGAGGGGGGGGGTCAGGGATGGGGGGACGAGGGGATGTACACTCCACCGGGGACTGGATGTTGACTCAACCTCGCGTCCCGACAAGAAGTGGACCCCCGCTGTTGTTGGCAGGCTTCAAGCAAAGTAGCCCAAGAAACTTCAAGCGTGCCTCAGGCTGCAATAGGACCAGGAGTTGTCCCTCGAATCAGTGTACTCGCAAGCTTGACCGCCAGGGTAGGGCTTTGTTGATGCCTGTGAACATGACTAGCCATCTTGAGCTGCGCAGTTGCGCTGCGCAGCTTAGCCTGCTGATTGCGATCTGGTCTTGCGATGTGACTTGGCTCGTCCTGCGCACCTGTGACCCGCCTTAGTTTCCCAAGGAGCTGCTCACTCCTCAGCAGGCGCTTGCTGCTTGGGCGTCCAAAGCAAAGTCGCCGACAGCGCCTGGGGCTACCTGACAGTTAGGCCAGGCCACGGTGGGTTGGAGTGAGCCGGGTTGTGCGTTGTCGTCTAAGCCTGGCCTGTGCAAATGCTGATGCCTGACGCCTGGCAATCAACGACAACCCATACGCTCTGCACAAGCTTGCTCAAACATCTGACTGCTCGTGCGAGTCCTTCTTATCCAAGGCTGCTGCGAAAGTGGCTTCGCCTAAACCTGCTGTTCGCCCGGTGGCCTCTCTGAAAAGTCGGGCGAGTATTCGCAAGGTTACTGGCATGGTAGACTGCAGTGATCACGGAAGCTCCTCGTAAAAGTTCAATGGCGCTTCTTAAGGCCGCTGCGCCCGTGGCTTCGCCTGCACTGGCCTACGCCTACGCTGGCCCTGTGGCTTGTCTGAGCCGAACAATCTACAAGGTTGGCAAAAAGCAAGGTTACAGCTTGCAGTCCAAGCCGAGGCTGTGGCAAAGTCGGTCCCAGTCCATTCTAGGCAGCTGAATGCAATTCAGATTCCAAGGCCGCTGCGGCCGCGGCAGTGCCGAAGACGCCTGGCGGCGCTGTGTCCTGCCTGCAAGTCAGACCTATCAGCATTGCCATTGAGTTGAATGGCCGCCAGGCAGTTTGGAGTGATGACTTGAACCAGGGCTTGCGGAGCAGATGTGCAGAGTGCAGTGCAGCCTTGTGTGCAATGTTATGCGATGATGTGAAGCAGTTTGCAATAAATCACGCAACGCTCCATTCGCTCTCTTCCACCTCAGCATTTTGGAGTCCTACGTCTACATCTTGCCTTCCTACCTCTCCTCCCGTGTGAGCATCCATATGTGTGCGAGTGGGAAGTATTAATGCAAAAAGTGTGCATACAGCCAGCCTGCCCATGCCAAGGGTCGCGACTTTCAGTAAGTATCAGCAGACCTGATGCCAAGGCAGCTGTAGCTGTGGCTGTGCCGAAATCGCCTGGCGGTGCTGCGTCCTGCCTGACAGTCAGTGCCACCTTTGTGCTATTGCTGTGTGAATGGCCATGGTAGGTTGGAGTGAGCCGGGTCGTGCGTTATCGTCTAAGCTTGGCCTGTGCAAATGCTGATGCCTGACGCCCGGCAATCAACGACCACCCACACGTTCTGCACAAGCTTGCTCAAACATCTGACTGCTCGTTCGAGTCCTTCTTATCCAAGGCTGCTGCGAAAGTGGCTTCGCCTAAACCTGCTGTTCGCCCGGTGGCCTCTCTGAAAAGTCGGGCGAGTATTCGCAAGGTTACTGGCATGGTAGACTGCAGTGATCACGGAAGCTCCTCGTAAAAGTTCAATGGCGCTTCTTAAGGCCGCTGCGCCCGTGGCTTCGCCTGCACTGGCCTACGCCTACGCTGGCCCTGTGGCTTGTCTGAGCCGAACAATCTACAAGGTTGGCAAAAAGCAAGGTTACAGCTTGCAGTCCAAGCCGAGGCTGTGGCAAAGTCGGTCCCAGTCCATTCTAGGCAACTGAATGCAATTCAGATTCCAAGGCCGCTGCGGCCGCGGCAGTGCCGAAAACGCCTAGCGGCGCTGTGTCCTGCCTGCAAGTCAGACCTACCAGCATTGCCATTGAATTGAATGGCCGCCAGGGCAGTTTGGAGTGATGACTTGAACCAGGGCGTTTTCATGTGTTCAATAGAATCGAAGTTCCAGCGCGCGCACTCTTAACCCTGCCAGTGACTCTGCACCTTCTACACGAATTTGCTCACATACTGATTGCGAGGTGCAAGCATTGCGAACGGGTCGCGTAGGACTAGAAGATCCGTCGTAGGCACCTCGGGATCGCAAAGATCATTGATTGGGTTGCCAAGGAGTATTTATTGTAAAATCCCAGAAGTTTTTTATGGAAATGACCCCACATGCAGGAGTTATTAAGATGTAAACTTTTGGATGTCCAAAAAAAATAAATACCTGTTGATAGAATATAGGATCTCCAATATAGGATAAAAGAAAAGTGGATAAGATTGGTAATGTAAGTAAAGCCATGAAATCTGTAATCAAGAAAGCCCAAGGAAATAATGGGATAGTCTTTAGGTCAGACAATCAGATCTCAGATTTAGAATTGTTGTCCAACAACTAAGAGATGTAAGACATGAAGATGTACCAGAGATTACGAGATTTCCTGTACTTGAAGGCTAATGGTGGAAAAGAAAGGATGATTAAACGATATGAAAGTAAAAGAATTAAGAAAGAAAATTATTGACTCTAGGATATACCACTTCTGGAGACCCTTGAAAGACAAGTACAAAATGACTTCTCGAAACAAGCCAGGCATAACTAAAACGAATGTCATAAGAGAGCCATGCAATGTAATACTTCTATTATAGAAGTTCTGGTTTTCTGGAGATATATTCTTGTTTCCTGATGAATATAGTTCTATTCTCTTAAGACTGATATCAATGTTCCAGAGATTCCAAAGATGAGTCCAGATCGTAAATAATATATTCCTAAGCAGTTATGATTACAGTTTTTAACTAGTGATAGATGCCATTCACTCACTCACTCACTGAATCACTCACTCACCCACCCAAGGCCGCTGCGCATGCGGCAGTGCCGACAACGCCTAGCATCGCTGTGTCCTGCCTGCAAGTCAGACCTACCAGCAGGCCACCATTGAGTGTGAGTTCCTTGCCTGTGAGACAGACTAAACATGGCCAGGACCTGTCTTGTTATCGTGGGAGCATTCCAAGGCTTCAAGACCCTTTGCGAGGGCCTGTTACTACTTCCTGGCCGGTAGCTAGTAAACCTGCCAACCAATGGCGAAGGAGCGGGTTGCCTTTCTCAGGAGAGGTTAGCAAAATTTGAGAAGCAGGGTTTGAGGCCAATTCGGTTCTTAAGGCTGCTGCGCCCGTGGCTTCGCCTGCACTGGCCTACCCTGGCCCTGTGGCTTGTCTGAGCCGAACAATCTACAAGGTTGGCAAAAAGCAAGGTTACAGCTTGCAGTCCAAGCCGAGGCTGTGGCAAAGCCGGTCCCAGTCCATTATAGGCAACTGAATGCAATGCAGATTCCAAGGCCGCTGCGGCCGCGGCAGTGCCGAAAACGCCTAGCGGCGCTGTGTCCTGCCTGCAAGTCAGACCTACCAGCATTGCCATTGAGTTGAATGGCCGCCAGGGCAGTTTGGAGTGATGACTTGAAACAGGGCGTTTTCATGTGTTCAATAGAATCGAAGTTCCAGTGCGCACACTCTTAACCCTGCCAGTGACTCTGCACCTTCTACACGAATTTGCTCACATACTGATTGCGCGCTGCAAGCATTGCGAACGGGTCGCGTCGATCGCTCGGCAGGACCCGAAAATCCATCGTAGGCACTTCGGGACCGCAGTTTGGAACAAGGCCGCGTAAGAAGCGAATAGAAGCGAGGGTGAAGCGATGGTCGCTCTTGTTAAGGGGGTTGGAAGCGAGGCAGGTTCTGACAGGTGGAAGTCATCAGTGAGATGACGCCATTCATCACCTTTCCCGGCTGATGGTCATTCCAGGATTTCCATGCATTTCTCCCAAACGTGCCGTGAAAAGTTAGGTCCGGAGTGATACTCTTATCGATTCTTTTTGTATGCACACCCCCGGCCAAAGTGCTACAATTGTCAGCCAGTATGTGCTTTGGAGGCCGAGTGCTTACGAAGCCTGTTTCGTACTCTCTTCGCACTACCAGCAAGAGTCGTAGAACCATGGCTTGGGGGTGAGTTGGGCGTGTCTGTGTGTATGCAAGGGTGCTATTAGTGAGTTCTGTATTTTCGACTAAAGATGAAGGTACCTCGTAGCTGGGCCGGTTGTGTGGGCATCGCTTTGTGGGGAGCTGAGGCCTCCGAAAGTTTGTCGGACCTCTAGTTTTGCAGTATCGCTGTTTCACTATGAATTCTCTGCACCTGGAGATCATCTTCTCGACATCCACATGGCTCCTGTTCATAACATTGGGCATGCTGCTGATCGATGCTGATCGTGCGCACCCCTCTGCGGGCAGGCCACGGGAAGCTTGACCCTGGGATCTATCTCACTGGAGGAGGCCGTGACAAACTTGGCCATAGGGGTGGTTGCACATGTTCTGAGGCTGTCCCGTGCAGAGAGCTTTAAAGATGCTTTCTGCTTAGCAGGCTGCGGCTGCAGCGGACAAGTGTCCCGCACTCGGGCAGAGAGCACTTGAGATGGTCAAGCAAGCAGGGCGGGATGTTGAACTTTTGAAAGAGGTCTCCTGGTCGCGTCGTGCTTGGGCCATGCTCGTCGTGTCGAGGCACAGACATCCACAGGGCCATAAAGGAGGGCAACCAAGAAGCTGTACAAGGCCACATCCACAGAGGCAACGCACGAAAGAAGATCCTTGGAGGAGGCCTGGCTATCAGCTCCTGGGATATAGGTCTGGATCACAGAATGTGGGTCAGAACAAGGAATAGACCGTAAGGACCCCCCAAAAAAGCCCATGTTTGACCCAGCCTCCAGAGCTTCGAAAGGCCACACGCCGCTGCACCGAGCCGCGGAGGAAGGCCATGCCAGCATCGTCCTTCAGCTCATCGAGGCCAGAGCCCCCTTGGAGGAGAGCCGCGACCGACGCCGCATGGCTTCTGAGAATGAGAGAACCCTCCCCCCCCTCCTAAGCAGATCCCCAAAAGCCCCAAGACCCCTGCACACGGTCGGGGCGCGCGCGCTAGAGAAGCCATGCGTGTCAAAGCCGCCGAAAAATCTCACATGTGCCAGGCGTCTCAAGCATCTCAAGCTTTTCACGCGCCGCCCGTGCGCCTGGACGGCCTGAATCGAGTTGCGTCTCGCGCGATGCAGGCACTCTCAAGCGTCTCAGGCGTCTCAAGCGCCTCAGGCATCAGCGGCCACGGTTAAGTGGCTTTGTGGGATTGAAGCCTCAGGCCGCCTGAGAGGCCTTGATGCTTTGAGGCTTCACTACCCTAGATCGCTTCTATACTCACATAAAGATACAAAAAGAAACATATCTGTACATGAATATGTACGTGTATGTGTATGTGCATAGATATATATGTATATACAGATATATATATATATATATATATATATATTATGTAAGAGGGATCTGTATGTACTATGTGACCGGGTCGGGTGTCGGGAGCAGGATCGGTTTGATAGTTGGGAAAGTTTCGCCTGCACGAGCCTCCCTCCAAATTATTTGCACTATCTTTCTAAACTATCTAAACCTTCTCACCACCTTCTGGGAGCTTTCGGGAAGGCTCGAAACCGTCTAGACTACATTTTCTCACATATTTTCCGGGAGCTCCCAGCAAGGCTAGAGACTTTACAAAGCTATCTAAACTAATTTATTTGCGTCTCAAGCGTCGCAGGCGTCGAACATGTCCGTCCGGCTATGAGAAAGCTACAGCACTTTTTCAGCATCTCAAAAGTTTCCTGCGTCCTGGGGGCGTGTTAAGCGTCTCAAGTGCTTCAGCGGTAACGTGGAAGGAGAGGATTTGAAGCTTTGAAGCCTGAAAGCCGCCTGTGCGGCTTTCAGGCTTTGAGGCTACCTAATCTCGACCCCTGCTCCCCACAACCCCTAAGGCCTAAACTCCCCAAGCTCTTTGAATAACGCAAAGTTCCAATGAAGTTCCGGAGTTTCGATGGGATCGCTGAGGCAAAACGCCTTTGCACGATGCTGCGCAGTGGGGCCACGAGGATGTCGTGTTAGTTCTTCTCGAAGCCCGAGCGTCCTTTCGGGCCACGGATTCTTTCGGTCCTGGCCTTACCATGTGCCAGTTGAGGACGCCACATGTCCCTGAAACGTCCTTTAGTCGTTTGCAGTGAAGAGCGCAATGGACCACAAAGGATCTTCACCCTGGCAATAAGCCATGAACCGAGACATACCGAGACACATAATTCACAAACAACTCACAGAGACGTCTAGTGGGAGGGTAGGGGTGCCCACTTTGTCGTGATCTTCTTTTTCCTGATTCTCCACTGTTCCTGACCCAGGCACAACGCCTCTTCACTACGCAGCCAGGGCCGGCAAGCAAGCAGTTGTTCGCCAGCTTCTCAATGCGGGCGCTGACAGAATGGCGCGGGACAGGGACGGCCGGGATCTTAGCACTGCAAGGTCAGAGCCTGGGTACCTTCAGACCTGCAACAGCTGCTAAGGCATGAGAGTCATGAGAATTTTCCATCATGTCGAAGTTCAAAGGAGGAACTCCGCAACCTGTTTTTCTGACTCCGCGAATATGGTGTGCGTGTGTGTTTGCTTGATTGTTTGTTTGGAGCTCTACTGAACCTTACGCAGAAATGCGGAGATCACCTTTTCAGAGGCCAGATTCCGGAGATTCCGCCGGAGATTGAAGCTCTGGGCCTTGCCTGAGGCCATTCCTGTCGGGCTTCAGGCTTTGGGTGTTCCCGTGACTCTTGCGAAGTCTTGCGGTCTTCTCATGAATTTCGGCACTCCAACCTGCTCCCCCGCCCTCCCCCGTGCCACAACTTGTTGCGGCACGGTTTGCGAGTTAGCAGTAAGGTTCGTTCTCGGATGCTGGTGTTCGAATCAGAGCAAGTTTCCTTCGATGAAGGGCAGCTAAGTGAAGCTGCAAATAGCCGAAATCATGAAGCACCAAACGCCGTTGCTCATCCAACCCTAAACCGTACATATCACAAACCCAAAGCCCAATGCTTGTGCGAGGCTTCTGCCTGTCCCGGAGACATCGAAAGACGAGGTTGAGCACTGCTCGTACGACGCTCAGCCCTAAATCAGGCAGAGCTTTGAAGTCGCTGGTTAGGTGAGTGTATATAGGGTTCCGTATGAACTTATATATAGGGTTTCAAGACAAGAAGATAAACCATGGCTCAAACCCCTAAAGTCCCAAACCTTAGATGTCTCTTCGAAGCCATACGCTCATTCTCCTTCGCTTTGAGATTGCACCTTATGGGCCCGCATTTGCCTAGCCCCTGAGGGATCCGAAGCCCCAAACCCCAAACTCTATACCCTAAACTCCAAAGCCCAAACCCTAAACCCTAAACCCCAAAACCCTACCACCTGCATTATTCGGATCCCTGACGGGTCTGTGGCAAGACGAGGCGATTGACCATTAAACTTAGACACCAGTGTTGACAAGGTGGGGTCTCCATTCTGGCACGGATTGCCGTTATTTGGGCGGCGGACAGGTATAGCTCGGGATGTTCCCCTTATGCTGACAGTCCTGAATAGGGATTTTCCTGTAAGCGGTACTAAAATCCCTATTAAGGCTTGTTAGTACCAGGGGGAACATCCGAGGGTATCTATGAAATCCAGATTTTCGGAGACCCCGTGTTGACTACTTGGCGGCTGCGTGCTGTTAACCTTGAATTTTCAGTATCTGGAGTTTTGTAGACATTTTCCAGAGGCCTGCGCCATGCAGGCATTCTTCGCATACTGTTTCTCATTCTCTCCCTGTGTGTCGAAGACACCAGTTGGGGGGGGGGGAAGTCAGCAGAACCAGCATGTTTTACGTAGATCGAAAATCGATGGTTTTCGGATGGTTGCTGCCTGGTCTGGCATTGAGGTAGTACCAGCTAGGAAACGTAGTTCACTCCCAAATAGTGAGTGTCAGCTTGACCGGTGTTCCTATCGAGGCCGTGCGTTCATTGTTCTTGTTGAGACCTTGTGTTTTGCTTTTCCAGTTGAAGCCGAAAAAAGAGCCACCTCAGCCGAGCATTGAAACCATGGAATCCAAACACGCTTTAGACCCGACCTTTCCGCCGCATTTCTACAGTCTTGAGTTTTAAGTCATTGCAGCTAGTATGCGTATGTCCGGGACTGGCAAGCTCGCAATCCACATGTCGTTCTTTTTCCACTCGCAAGTTCGTTCATCTTGTCTTTCCTTCTCTTGTACTGAGCACGTTGCGGTTGGGGCTTAAAGCAGCAAAAGCAGCGTGCCCAGCAGCCCTCGCGGCCTGTAGCTTAGCGAAACGGCAACTCAATTTGCGAAACATGCCGGTTCATTGCAGGTTTGTGGCTCAGACGCGCGGTACGTCCACAGACCCTTGCCTGGCCGGCGCAGAGCATGGCTCGGTCCAGCTCCATCGCCGCGCCGCTGCTGCTCATCGCGGCGGCTGCTTATGTGTTGAGTTACTGCAGGGCGCCGGCGTCTTTTGTGGCGCCCTCGGAAGCAGCTGAAGTGGCTTGCAACAAATTACTCACTCCTCCAATGTTGTAATAATTATGGGTTTGCCGTGTACAGATTCTGTTGAATGCTGAAGGTTGCAGGTTCCATTCCAACTGGTCAATCCGTATATCATGACTAGGCGGTCTCCAGCAATCTGACGACGGCCGCATGCTTATGGACAGTCTGCAATCCAAGTCTCAAATCCGTAGCTGAACAGAATTCATGTAGTGTTGGGGTCGGGTTGTTTTTTGGGCAACTGCATAAGGTGACTGGCATCTTGGGAAAAGTAGTGTCGCTTCTGGGTTTTTCATGTTAGAAAGGTTTTCCGCGTTCTCGCGATGGCGCTAAGTGTTTTGGTCTGAAGAACCAGTACCCGGTGATCGCCTTGTCTGAAATCCCGCGCCATAAGCCCTAAACCCTAAACCCTAAACCCTAAACCCTAAACCCTGAACCCTAAACCCTAAAACCGAAACCCTAAACCCTGAACCCTGAACCCTGAACCCTGAACCCTAAACCCTAAGCCCCAAGCCCTAAGCCCCTAAACCCTATAAACCCTAAACCCTAAACCCCCGAAACCCTAAACCGTAACCTTAAACCCTAAGCCCTAAACTTAGCCCTAAACCCTAAACCTTAAACCCTATTTCCGAAACCATAAACCCGCATAAAACGTCAACACCGAGTAGAAGAAAGGCGGCAGGTGCAACCTGACGACTCTTGCTGCTTTCGTGAACGCTTGGAAGGATAACTTTCTTGTCAAGTCGATGGCAACTGATGGCTCTGCTTCAAATGCAACAATTGCATCAAAGTAGAAACGCGAAAAACTCGACCGAAACTCTAAAACGTTAAGAACGACTTTTGAAGCCCAAAAACCCTTTAAAACCTCAAGGGCCTCAAAATTCCTAAGCCAGAGCGCTGGCAAAACTCTAAAAGCTCTAAGGCCCCAACAAACATCCAAATACCCTCAACCCTAAATCCTACGCGCCCGAACCCTAAACCCTAAACCCTAAACCCTAAACCCTAAGCCCTAAGCCCTAAGCCCTAAACCCTAAACCCTAAACCCTAAACCCTAAACCCTAAACCCTAAACCCTAAACCCTAAACCCTAAACCCTAAACCCTAAACCCTAAACCCTAAACCCCCTAACCCCTAAACCCTAAACCCTAAACCCTAAACCCTAAACCCTAAACCCTAAACCCTAAACCCTAAACCCTAAAGAACCCGCAGTTCGAGCAACAAAGGCAGCACCTGGTAGGCGCCAGGCCGATATCTCGGGTTGGCTTGCTTGAAGGTTCATGGGTTTTAGCCGGTTTAGGGTTTAGGGTTTAGGGTTTGGGGTTAGGGTTTAAGGGTTTAGGGTGTAGGGTTTCGAGGTCTGACGGTGTCGTTCTGTTCAAGACGTTGGCTATAGCTATCAATTGTTTGGGGGTCAGTTGGAGGGGTTCTACAGCAGGGGCGGAATTCATGGGGTCAAAAATTCAGGCTTTAAACAGTAATATTAGTATTATTTTTTTCTTATCATCATCATCATTATTGTTATCATTATTATTATGATTAATAATACTTTTTTTATCCATTATCATTACGATTTGCTATTACTATTTCGATTATTGATTACTAGCACTATTATGATACCAATGACTAGGACTATGACTATGGCTATGACTATGACTATGACTATTACTGTTACTAGTACTATTACTATTACTATGCCTATCACTATTAGTAGTACTAGTACTAGTACTAGTACGATTACTGCTACTACTACTACTACTACTACTACTACTACTACTACTACTACTACTACTAATAATCCTATTACCATTACGGTTACGATTACTATTACTACTACTGTTACTGGTACTCTTACTGTTACTGTTGCTGTTACTGTTACTGTTACTGTTACTGTTACTGTGATTATCATTATTATTATCATCATTACTGCTACTATCATGATATGATTCTTATTATGATTTCGATTATGATTATGATGATTATTATGATTACGATGATTATAATGATTATGATGATTATGATTATTTTTGCCTGATTATTCTGATTCTGATTGTTCTGATGATTATGATGATAATTATGATTCTTATGATTCTTATGATGATTGCTACTGTTTTTGGTATGTGTTTTTTCTGTTTACGTGTGGGTGGCATTTCACCAGGGTTTTTGGGCTCCTTCTAGTGAAAGGCTCAATCCTGACCTTCGGGCTCTTTGGAAGTCTTTTTTTCTTGAAAGCTGCAGAGCTCTTGCAAGATCTGCCCTGACTTCAAACCCATCCTCAACGCCTGCAGCCTTAAACCCTCAAGCCTGCAAACCCGCAGCTCAACCTGAAAGCGCTGAACTGCTGCAGTCTTCAGAGCCCCCAAAACCTCCCTCCAACAACCATCGAAACATCATTCAGCCACCCCCTGAATACACCGAAGCCCGAAGCTGTTTTCGAATGCGGAGTTGCAATGCTGAAAGCGAAATGAAGTGTTCAGAGAATGCGCACGAAATCTCACAAAGGCTCCTCGTCACTTGCAACCCCCTGCTCCGAAATTTCATGGCCCCTCACCTTCGGGGTTTGGGTTTTCCCATGTTCAGTTCCAAACTCTCATCAACCCCCAAAGCCCTCAAACGCTACAAGGCTCAAGATTCTTCACCCCAAACCCTCTAAACCCCCAACAGTTCTCTCAGAAATTCAACCCCCACTCTTCAAAACCTTCAACAAAAATCCAAAAACCCTGAGCATTCCCACCCCCCAAACCCTAAACCCAATGTTTGGGGCTGCCAGCCTTGCTTTGCCATAGCTTCCAAACCCTCGACAGCCCTAAGCCCTGAACCCTAAACCCTAAGCCTTTCTTTTCAACGGGGTCTCTCCAAACCTAAACCCTAAACCCTAAACCCTAAACCCTAAACCCTAAACCCTAAACCCTAAACCCTAAACCCGAAACCCTAAACCCGAAACCCGTGAGCTTCCCCCAAGCCCCCTGTAAAAAATCGGTTGAGAGGCGCTGCTGCTCCCCGGGGCCCTGGTTGCCGCCTCTTCAGCGCCTGCCCTGGCGCTTCAGAAGTGCCCTGGCCGGGGGGGTTTAAGGGTTTTGAGGGTTCTAGGGTTTTTAGGGTTCTAGGGTTTTGGGGTTTTAGGGTTTCGAGGGTTCGAGGGTGTTGGGGTTTTAGGGTTCAGGGTTTTGAGGTTTTGGGGTGGGATTAGGCTTTTAGGGTTTTAGGGTTTACAG